CTCTGATACCACTTGTTGGGTATACCAGAAAACAAATAACACCCGGAGGGGGTGAGTAGGTGTGCGAGGAAGCAATTAACTCTTTTTACGACAAATGAGAAATTCTGAAATATTCTAAGTTTATTCGATTAACACTTCACTTAATTGATTAAATCGACTTGTTATTAATCAATTAAAGACATGTTTAATCGATTAACCTGATTATTGCGATCTTTGAAAAATAGTTTTCTTGCAAGAAAAGTTACCACGTTTTCAATCAACTACAGATGCAATCTACTGAAAGAATTTATGACAATGTATTTAACAGAAACAGAACATGCACTAAATTCAGTTAATAAATCAACTAAACATATAATGCACAAAACGATTGAAATTTAAAGAGATAAGAGATCAATAAAATTTAAGAAGACAATTTTATCATGGTTCGTTTGCAGGTCCACTTGCAAACTACATTCGGGCCTCCCCTTCTTGTAAGGACCCAAATTCTACCCTTGAAAATTTTTTCTTATTTTAATCAATTTATTCCTACATTTTCCACTATACCTTACTTAAAACTCGGTTATCATATCATACAACAACACTTCTTTATATGACAGAAAAACATAATTCATATATTTCTTTCTCGTTAATTACCGCATATGACTAGCTATGGGTTTCCAAAATACCCATAGCTATGAAGAGCAATAATAATTAAATATATATCAATATATCATCCACCATTTATTTGTATTACATTCTTGAAGAACAATAATAATTAAATATAAATGGTAGATTATATACCAACAGTATATAAAGATACATTTTATCTAAAATATATATATGTAAAAGAACAAATTAAGAACCGAGAGGCAGAATGTCTTCAATGTCACCACCAGTTGTGAATTGTCAATGTTATAATATTAATTGTTGCAGCGGAATAAGTCAGAATGAGTAAATATACGTATCATAGAGGAAATTTAACATCAATAGGCGAAAACAACATTTATTAGGGCAATAAATTTGGGACCCGCATTTCCTTACCCAGAAAAGTAAGCAATGAAGAAAAGGTGTGGCCTATATATAGAGTATATTAATCACAATAACATAAATGATCCAACACTTCCCCACCATAGTCCTACTTTAATTATTCATTTAATTGCCGTTTCTACTCGAATTTTCAAATTTTTTTTTTACTTTTTAGTAAGTTCACATGCATTCCCTGACCCGAGGATATTGAATTTTCTTTCTACCACTCCTAAATGTGATAGGAGTATATATATATATATGGAGATGAGATTGAATACTCGGGAAACTAAGGTAATGAATTGTGTTATTAAGGTTTAATTAATTAGGTCACGTGCATTTTCTATCCTAAGAAGGATATTGATTTTTTTCTTCTGTTCTACAAGTTTTGCTAAAAAAACTGTACATGATGAAATCACTCCCTAAATTTGATAGTAATACAGGTGGGGAGATAAAATACTTTGATAAAAATAAGAATATATATGAAATTATGTCATTCACCTAAACCTGTTTTGCTATGTGTGTCTTGTCTTTATTAATTATTGTCAAAAACGTGACTTGATTAATGAAATACTACAATATATACTTAGTACGGCACTAGAAATAATTGTTTTGAGTTTTCAGGTGATTTTAATAAGCAAGTTTAGCAAGTTTAATATTCATGTAGTGATGAAAAGAGTTTTTCTATTTTATTTATGTGTTAATTATTAACTTTTAAACTAATATGCATGAATAAAAAATGACTATACATAAACATTAAACTATTTATAAGTTTCTAAATTATCTGTAAAATAAATTATTGGAAGTTTGGAATTATTAATGATACACCTCATCTGTAGTTGTCCACTGCGAATGACAACATAGCATTTAGTGCCAAAGCTGCTCTATTAAATGGATTGGGATCTTTTTTCGAGAGTCTAAATGAGATTATATCAGGTGGCCAAAATAATTATTTGATGGGCATTATTTCATATTAATTTTTAATAAAAAATAAATAACTTGTTTAAAAAAATTCCTCATATTCCAATATTATCCTCCCGAGATGAGTTTAACTTCTATTAAATATATATTCATAATGTCAAAGTTACCTCCATAAATTAATATACAATTTCAAGATTGAGATTAGCACGTTTATCATATTCAATCGAGTAGAACATAACTAGTTTGACTCATCAAGGATTTGTTCAAGTCGAGTTTCGAGCCAAACTTAATGCCAGATTATTTTTTTAGCTCAAGTTTAGCTCAATCAAAGTTCATGAGTACAAGAAAAGCGATGACTCCCTCTTAGAACGAAAAGAATGCCCAAAGCTTATGAACCCAACGCAAGAAATAGAGAGATTCACAATCAAGAAGAAATTGATTACCTTTCTTGTAACTTTTACTGAAAATAATGATTGAATGATATGAATTGCAAAGGAAAGAAAAGACCCTATTTATACTACCCTAAGCAAACTTATTCATCCAACTAACAAAACTAACTAAACTACCACAACTAACTTATTTACACATGTGCCAAATAAGAAACTTAAAATACACGGAATCTACATTCTAGGCATTCTCATATGATTGGTTGATTTCACATGACAGAAGATCACATGAGGAGGAGTGGTGGTTTGTTGATGCAAATTCATAATGTGGCTTGGGCTTGTACTGCAGTTTAGCTGGTTGCCAAGATCATTGTGTAGACCTCGGTCACGTTTGATGCGCAAGCCTTAGTCAGATTCATGGGCTTTGCGATTATGTGTCTTGAGCATTTAGCCTTGTAGTTGTCTTGGTCCTCTCAGTCAAGATAATGTCTGGGCGAGTATGCCTTTTTTGTGTTAAATAGATGAAAAATGATTAAGTAAAAGAGACAGTCTTTTTACTGGATAGGATGAAGCTATGATTTAATTTGCTGTTTCTCCTTAGTAGATAATTTGTTTCAATCTGATGTGTACTTACTAATTGCATTTTCAATTTAACATGATTAACAACTTCAAGCATCATAAACAAATAAAATAGGCAAAATGAAAATAATATGTTTACTTGTTTTTTAGAGATTATAAGAAACAAATTTATTTATTGAAATTTTAAAATTCACAGTTTATTTATAAGAATGGCATTCATTATTTATTTTGATAAGCATTATAATCATATACTAAAATGCAGACGAACACATAGAACACGCTAATTAGATTAGTGTTTCATAATTGCATGTATAGGACAGAGTAACAAATTAGCTTTGCAATAAACTTAAGCAGTTGATGTTTTGATGGTGAAAACATAGAAAGATCGGTACTGATAAATAACATCATCACAATGTGTTACCAAGTCAATAAGATGACTTAACAATGTGATTTTTGACCAAAAAATATCACATTGTAATGAAACAAAAGAAAGGTAGTTGTCACAAATTTGCATATAATTTGTCCATGGAATTTCATATTTCATTTTGTCTTCATATGTTTTGTTATCTTCGAGGATGACAAGTGAGTGAAATTATAGACAGGGCTTTCTAGCAGGTCCAAGTCAATTTCAACCGACAATCGCTTGCCTGGAGTTACAACTTGAAACTGTTCTGGATCATGATCAGCAGTCATAGACACAGACTAACCATGAAATATAAAAAAAAAATTACACACATTAGTAGTGTAACATTAAAATTTAAAATATCTTACGTAAAAAATTATATATTCCACTGACAGATTCTAATGCAAGGAAATCACTGCAAACAATTTTCCCTTTAAAATCATCAGAAGTTGTTGGCTGATTGTATAGGAAATAACCATATCAGACTCTACACATTGATACTTATGTTTAATTATTTCATAAAAAGAAGGTTTTGAAAGATTACCTCAAATACTCCAATTTGACCAAATACTTTTTTGATCAAATTTGGATCCTCAGATAATCTTATAACAGACGATTGGTTGTCGGATGGTTGTACTTTTACACGTAGAACCATAGTCCTTGCAAGTAGTTCATCAAGAACTAAAGGAAATGCCTTCGGATCATCTTCTCCTTCCTATACACACAAATACCATATAATACATATGTCATGAATTAACTAATGTCTCTATTGTTTCATGCAATTATTTATAAAAAATCTAATATGTGAAGCGTAAATGAATGGAAAATAATTTCACTTACTGCCAACATCTGATTTTTAAGTTCAGAAGCAGATATGTCAATCATATCATCACATTGGCGATCCCAGAATACAAACCTTCCACAGCTATGTTCGTGATTCACCTTAATTTCTAGTTTGTATCTATCATACAAATGAAACAATAAATAATTACAATGGAGTTTATTCAAATGTCAAAATGCAACATTTATAAGAGTTTATTATCTTGGAAAAGAGATCTGATTAAAATGGCCACACTTGTAGGTGAAAGGACCATCTTTAACATCAGAATTCTTCGTGCACTTGGCACAACCATCATAGTATGAACCTGGCCTCCCAACAACAAACATTGTTGTGGTGCCAACAGTTACACATGTCATTTCCTATAGAAAAGATAATAAATATGGTTAGATCCATAAGTGACAATAATAAAAAATAAACATGATATAAATGAACAATATACCTCAAATGATGTAAGGGACGAAATTTCATTGATACTCTTCACAACTACTTTATACAAAACGATCATCATCCGATAAATAAGAATATTGTGACAATTGACTGTTGGATTGGGTCAATGTGTCACATGATAGAGAAATAGATGAAAAACTGTACAAAGTGAGTGAAGTCAGTAATTCAAAATACATAATTAATATGCAAATGCAATTACATAATAAATAATATTACATAAAGCAATACTAACAAACATGTCCTTATACTTATGAAAGTTGGTTATTTCTTCATCAATTAACAATTTTGAGTCGCACCATGAGTTAGAAATAGTAGGTGGGTAATTGCCTAGCAAAAACAAACGATATATCATAAATCAACATGTAATTTAACATAATTAGTACAGTTAAAACATTGCAAGTTGAATTGGTGTAATCACCTTGACCTTCTTTCACTCTAGCATTAGTTAAAAGAATAACCAAAGGTTGAAGACTGGGTTGGTTATTGTAGAAGTTGAGAAATTTGATAGCGTACGCCTCCCATAGGGTGCATGAAATAACATCACCACTGATAAAAATAAAGCAACAACAAAATCAGTCAAAAATTACAACCAAATAAGAACTATATAAATTGTAGGGAAAGATTAAAAAATTGAAAATAGTAAAAAGATAGCAAATACAAAAAATCCTTCATACTGAAAATAACCTTCTTCAAATTGGATTGTGATTGGGAGAAGATAAGCTTATCAAAAACACCAACCACCTCTAGGAGAAAAGAAAAACAAAAATCTGTTATAAAAACAATTTCAGCAAATAAAATTTTAAATAATAGAACATTAGGACTTTGATTTAACCTATTAGCAAATCTGACCAGAAGTTCCCAGATAGGATGTCACTGATTTTTTTGAAATCGTATTCTAATTCAGGAATGTTAGGAAGTTCTCTCTGTTTAAGGGTGGCACCGGCAGTAAACTGCATTCTGTAACGACCCGAAATTCTACCATTGAAATTTTTTCCTTATTTAATCCAATTCCACGCCCTTAACATTAAATCATAATTACCGAGTGACTAAGTTTATTTAAAATGTCTCATTTCTCCCGCACACCCGATCTATGAACCAAAAGTAACATACAACATCCGATAGCAGAAAACCATAATTCATTAATATAACCTTGTAACCACCGCATACAATTAAAAATAGAAATAAAATGTTTTAATAAGTAAAGATGTTGAAAAAGATTAACAATTGAAATGAAATTGTGTGTTACCTTGGAATCCATCAAGATCATCTCAAGATGACCAGGTTTTGGGGGTATTTGGACATACCAAAGTTGTGTGATCCTAACAGCAATCTTCTAGAGATGCTTCGAGTCATTGACATCCTTGATGAAGTCGAATGGTCGAGATAATGACATTATACTGATATATATAAAATCCTCTCATAATCATAAAAAAAAGAATGATAAGTATGTTAAACAAAAGAAAAAAAAGTAAAAAAAATCAATACAATGGAGGTATAGAAACCATATGTAAGCAAAGTATTGAAAATGGTGAACACATACTTATAAACAACAAAGTATGTTCAAAAGTTTGTTTTTTATGACATATTAGTCAGCAATAACACATTTTAGTAAGATCTACAGTTGAAAACCTAACTTTTATAACATTAAAGAAAATCAATACAATAGAGCCACATTAACCATATGCATGCAAAGTATTTCTGAAAATGGTGAACACATACTTATAAACAACAAAGTATGTTCAAAAGTTTGATTTTATGACATATTAGTCAACAATAACACATTTTAGTAAAATCTACAGTTGAAAACCTAACTTTTATAACATTAAATAAAATCAATACAATAGAGCCAGATAAACCATATGCATGCAAAGTATTTCTGAGAAAAAAGGAATACAGTACAACATCAAAGAAAGACAACTGTAAATACCTAGAACAAAAATAATGAATACAAAATGGTGAATATAAACAAAAATATAAACAAAAAAGATGAATACTTTACCTTTCTGAAGAGAAAAGAAGAATGAAAAAGATGAAGAAAAATAAATAGATCTAAATATGAAGATGAATGAATCGGTACACAGAGAAGAGGAAGATGAAAGGGAGGCTGAGAGTGAATCGGTGCACAGAGGAAAAAGGTACACAATATACATGCAAAGTATTTATGAGAAAAAAGGTGCACAGTACAACATCAAAGAATGACAACTGTAAGATCTAAAGCTGAAAAGTGAGAAATATATTTACCTTCAAGAAGATGATCTAAAAAATGATGAATACCTAGAACAAAAATAATGAATACAAAATGGTGAATATAAACAAAAATATAAACAAAAAAAGATGAATACTTTACCTTTCTAAAGAGAAAAGATGAATGAAAAAGATGAAGAAAAATAAATAGATTTAAATATGAAGATGAATGAATCGGTACATAGAGAAGAGGAAGATGAAGATGAAAGGGAGGATGAGAGTGAATCGGTGCACAGAGAAGATGAAGATGAAAGAGAGGATGAGAGGTATGAGTGATAATGGGTGAGAGAGAGAAATCGACAAATGAAAAGAGAGAGAGGAAAAAAGCCAGGGTTTTTTTTGTACTTCAAAAGGCAATTTACAGAATTAACCTTGTGCTTTTAACGAAAACGTAATAAATGAGACAGACGTTTTGGTAATTTTCACCCTGCAACAATAAATGTCAACAATAATTGTAATGATTTAAAATTATGTAAAGTACAAAAATAACCCTAACTGATAAAAGGAAGAAATTTAAAGGCAGGGGTCTTTTAGTCTACGTATTTATAGATTTTGATTTTTTTTATTGTTATAAAAAATCAAAAGACAACAATACCCTTCAAAAAGCCAGGTGTCAAGGATAGGAGAACTCTATTTTAGGCATTTCACCAGCCCTTTCAATTAATATAGATATATATATATATATATATATATAAAGGGAAAATATTACTTTATTGTATTCGTAAAACCATAAGAGGCATGTCCTAATCTATAATGTCATATACTAGAGGAATCATGAGCATAAACTGCACCAGTAAAAGTTACTTTATGATGAAGTCTAGCTGCCTTCAACACACACAATCCATTGCACATTTTAGTTATACCAATCGTCCTCAAAAAGCTCTTCTCCTGGATTGTATGTCAAGATTCGTTAAAGTACAAAGTACATGATGAATTTGTGGTAAGTTTAGGAATTGAAAGCAGATTGTATGAAAAGGTTGGCAAATTGAGGACATTATTCACTGTCAATAGAGGGAGGATAGAATTGGTTCCAGAAATATGTCTGAAATTTCATTACCATTTGGGAAGTTTAATTTTAATGGGTTTAATCTTCTTATAAGTTGAAAAAAAAATTAAACTCAAATTGATATAATCAGTGGCATCACTGTCCATGAACCAATGTATAAATTGAGACTGTGTATTAGATTTACTTCCAATTTCTTCATCATGTGGTGTAGAAATTGTGGACAAGATATTGACCGATTCAATTGTGGTTGAATGATCAACTTGTTTGGATGTGCTAAGAGAATATCTTATATTATGATCATGTCTTATATTTGTTTAGAGTATGTTAGAAGATCTCTTAGGATACATATTATTTTATTATGATTTGTTTGTTATTTAATTAGGAGTATGATATTAGTACAAATATAAGTTAGTTGTAAGCCTTTCGAAATAATCAAATAAACACAATATCATCATTCCTACTATAACACCCTAAGTTTTATTTTCCTAAAAGAATTGTAACAGTAGAAAATCTGGGGTATACTGCAGGATTCTCGCTTGGCGAGAGGAGCCTCGCCCAAGCGAGAGTGTCAGCATTTCTCCCAGGATTTTCTCTAGGACTCTCGCCTGAGCGAGAGATGGCTCGCCTGGGCGAGAGGGAATTGTAGAGGCTGAGAGATTCTCGCCTGGGCGAGGGAGAGAAGCATGGAGATTGTCGAATTCTCGCTTGAGCGAGAGCGTTAGAGTTTGAAACTTTAAAAGGCGGGGATTTCTCGCGTAGGCGACATATTCTCGCTTGGGCAAGAATATAAAATCCTGAACCATAAAATAGAACCCCAAACATTAAAATGGGTAGGTTTTTGAGAGAAAAGAGAATAGGAAGCGATTTTTTTTGGCAAGAGCTCGTGCAAAGGCTAAGAGAAGCTAGAGAAGAGGTAAACCCTCTTGATTTTAACACTCACTCTCATTTAGAAACTCATCGTGGGTATTTGGGTCTCTTCTCTTTGAGTTGGAAAACAATATAACCCTCTCTTTTGAGATGTGGTTCTTTTTATTTAACCTTCTTTTAAAACTCATAGTGTAGGGTTTGTATTTGGAAATGATGTTTGAAAAATGTTGATTTTAGAAAACCCCAAAACCTAGAAACGAAATGATGAAGAAAAGGATGAAATGTTGAGTTGAGCTGTAGTTTATGATTTGTGATGTAGAATGAGGAGTTAAACGTTTATGATTTACATGCTTGAAGTCTTAATAGTGATGGTTTTGAGAATCATCGGAATATGAGTTATATTATGGTTGAAATATGTAATATGAGTTATTATGTGATATTACGAATATATTATTGATTATGTTTTAGTGTGTGGTGTGAATGGAGGAAATACCCTAAGGTTGGAGGAAGCGGAGTAGAGACTAACAAGTCGCCAAATGCCAATGCACACCAAGGTAAGGGAGAAGCATTTCCCTTATTAATGATATAATGTGAAAGGTAAGCTTATTGAGTTTGTTATTATGAGAATAGAGTTATGAGTATTCATTGAATGAAAGTTGTACTGATTCGCCTCTGTGGCCTAGACTTGCCCTACGTGGTATTGATTTGCCCTTGTGGTATAGACTTGCCCTACGTGGTATTGATTCGCCTTCGTGGCATAGACTTTTCTGACGTGGTATTGATACGCCTTTAGGGCATAGAATTGCCCGACGTGGTATTGATACGCCTTTATGGTATAGACTTGCCCTACGTGGTATTGAAGTAACTTTTATTAAATGTGGTTGAGGAATTGTAGAATGATGGTTTATTTGATTTGACTGTTAATTTATGTTAATGATAGATATATATATATATATATGTTTGCAATATAATTATTCTATACTGATTTATAAACACTAATTATCCTGATTTTGATGTTTTACTCCCTTTTATTTCTTGTTGGTTTTATTTGTGATAATCGGTGTACAGGTAAATCTAAGGACTAGCAGACTCAGATGATGTGGTAGTTTAGTTTTATGACCATTGTTGTAATAGGATTATTAATGTGTTGTTTTGTATTATGCACGTACTTGTATCTATTACTTGAATTAATTGACATGTATCCCCGTTTTTAGGGACTTGATGTATGATTGACATGTATGCAGGGACGGAGTCCCATTTTGAAATTAAAAATGTGAAGTTTATGGGTTATGAACTCCAAAATACCTTGGTAGATTTATTTGTCATTATTGAAATTGAATCGTAGTTACTTGGGGGATGTAATTCATGGGAATAGTTTGTGGGAAAATAGTTATTAGAATTTGTATGTTTAACAATATATGAACGAGAAAAATATAGGGTATAATTTGGGTCCTTACAATATGGTATCAGAGCATAGTTAATTATGCGGCCTAGGGTATGGCCTTACGTGCTTCTTTGTAATATTTATGTGATTTAACTATTTGATTTATGTGAACTGTTGTGTTATTATGTGATAACTTGAATGGTTAAACTTGGTTTACTGATAAGTGAATGAGTACAGGTACAAGCTACGGACATGGCTGGAAGAGGACTAGGATGAGGATCAGGTCAGAATGATCTATTGGCTCATATAGCAGTCGTGATGCAAAACATGAATGAGAACCTGCAGCATCTGAACCAGAATGCGGCATCGAGTCCAAACCCACACCCCCTGGCACCTCAAGGGCCGGTAGAGTACTGTGGATTGGACGAGTTTTGTAAGCGCAATCCTACCTAATTTGAAGGTGGATTCGCTCCTGATACGGCCAATGGGTGAATCCAAAGCTTGGAGTGGATATTCAGAGCTATGGGTTGTTCTGATGCTCAAAAGGTGACGTATGCATCATATGTACTGGTCAAGGATGCTGAGAACTGGTGGGAGTATGCTCGGAGGCAAATGGAATCCGAAGGGCAAGCCATCACTTGGGAAGCCTTTAAGGGGAAGTTTCTCCAGAAATGCTTCCCAACTGATTTGAAGAGGAAGAAAGAGATGGAGTTCCTACGGTTGGAGCAAGGGGATTTATCGGTGGGAGAGTATGCATCCAAGTTTGAGGATTTTGCCTGATATTGTCCCTATTATGAGCTAGAGGTGGATGGGCGGTTCAAGTGTACTAAATTTGAATCGGTTTGAAGCCCAAGTTGAAGATGATGTTTGGGTATCAGGAAATTTCTGACTTTCCTACCTTAGTCAACAAGTGTAGGATGTACGAGGACGATATGAAGGCGGATGAGGTAATGATGCACAAAACAATTCCTCCGAAGAACTTTCGGCCCCAA